GTAAAGGCAGTCCCCGCGCACAACCAGTTCGTGGGCGTTCATATTTGTGCAAGTAGTCTGGTCCTCAGTCTCTAATATTGCCCCATCTTCGTTACTTCACAGTAATACCGAAAGCGCTGCTTGCCTCTATAAATGGCAATTCTGACGTTCTCCCAGTTGTTCTGCCCAACAGAACACAAACATTATTATCTGGCGCGAGTACAGTCTTCACACATTGTTTTACGTTTTTTATCACCTGTATGGGATTTGGCTCTGAATTATACGGGAGATACGACTAGTGAACCAGAAACAGGTGGCAGGAATCGTCTGCTGACGCAAAACGAGCAAGTCGCCAGAAAGGCTGAAAGGTCCCTTACTTAATGGTGTTCTTCATTATTTTTTTGGTTTTTTTTTCTTTGGAGTGTCACTTAGTCGCTACGGTAGTTTCTTATGAATGCCACTATCCAAAATATTCAAGCGTGAGGTTTGTCCTTTAACACATTCCGGACCGCCTAACACACTTGGTGTGTCATACATTTTTCTGTACGCTGTTTCATAAGATCTATTTGGAATCTTTTTTATGGTCTAAAGTTATCCAGACTCGGAATACATATGCCTCAAATGTTCATAAAAAACGGATGAAATTCAAATTATTCAAATTATTAGTAAAAAGGGACGGAATGGTGCGGAGATCCTCTGCAAGCGGATCATGAAATGTGTTTAAATCATTTACTGTGTAAAATTCGTTTTGCAAATACTTACACTCCCCCTCATTCGGAGAGGTATCAATCAAGCCTCGGGCCCTTCATTAGTGGCAGGGGACAGTCTTGGCGTTGGGTCAGTCCCAGCGTGGTCCCGTATTTTGTCGATGGGAAGCAGGTGTATTCGTTATGTGAACCGATAAAAAAAGACTTTTCTTCGATCGTTGCTTTTTTCCCTGTTTCAATCGGGCGTCCTCGCTCTTTGAGAGAGGTCGCGTGGGTGTGGGGACGGGAAGGCTAAGTATTTCTTTTTTGAGGTAGAAATTTCCTTATGATCTCAGGTTTGTTGTACTTGTGTTTTTTTCCCTGTTCTCAATGGCTATTCGTCTCGTAGAGCGTAATTTTTCTTGTAAGAAAATAAAAAAAACTGCGGGAACTTTGGGAAAGATGATTTTGTCGAAAGTGTGGAGAGGTTGGTAGGATAGCGCAGTGACGCCAGGTAAGGAGGGTGGGGAGGGCGACGGCATCGTGGGTGATCATCACAACTGGTGGATGGGTGTTCTCTGGTTCAGTAGAAAAATTTTTTTTGATAGGTTCTCCGTTGTTACTATCGGAGCGCTGTTATAGGGGGAGGGGTCGTACTTAGTCATTTTCGCGAGGGGGGTCGTATTTTGTCAGTTTATGGACGCATTACTGTTTCCGACACTTGAAAATGATAGTTTATATCTTTGACGACCTTCCTCCCTCCCTCCCCCCGCCCTCGACCTGCTCGGCTCCGATGAGGAAGGACAGAGGGTTGAGAGGGGGGGTCGTACCAGTCGTACCACCTCCCAGGAAGGGGGAACGTAGTTTAGTATGGAATTAGGGGGTCGTAATTTTCAGAAAATGATCACAACGCGATGGCGTGCCCTGTATGGGGGTCTTAGCAGAGCACGCAATTGTGAGGGTTCGTTCTTTCTCCTGGAAAATTTTTTCCATGGCATAGAGGCTCCGTGATTTATGCAGCCGTGACTAATATTTTTGGGATTTGCAAGGTGGGTGTGATAAAGAGCCTGAAAAAGGTTTGAGGCGGTGATGCAATATTGATGCTCTTTTAAGCTGCTGTCGTTTAGCCGCTAGCGAACTCAGATTGACTGAGCATTCGCACATGGCCCCAGGGTATAACAGAGAATTTGAGTAAGGTTTGGTTGTTGTTGCAGTTGGTCGTGATTAATGCAAGTCGTAGCGCGGCGCTTTGCGACAATGAGTTGACTGCGCTGACTGCTGGACCGAGCGTTCGCGTCTAACGATGAGCTCGATTGTGTAAACCTGTTCGAGAGTTTCTGTGTGCTGTGGTGTGTTGTGGTTGTGGTGGTGTGTGTGTGTGTGTTGTGTGTGTGTGTGTGTGTGTGTGTGTGTGTGTGTGTGTGTGTGTGTGTGTGTGTGTGTGTGTGTGTGTGTGTGTGTGTGTGTGTGTGTGTGTGTGTGTGTGGTGTGCAGTGAAGAGTCGTGCGCGGGCTGGAGGCGTGTCTGAGTTTCTGTCATCTTTCGTTTCGCCAGTCAATCATCATCGCGGTCGCGCAGGTTCTCCAACCTATTGCACTCGTATGGTAGTCGAGCGGCTACCATTTCGGCACGGTACTGAGTCGGCGCGGGGGTCCTGAGCCCTCGTCTACATCGCGGCCAGGTTCTCACAGTCATGTTCATAGCGTATCGGTATGTGATTCGCCCGACGGGAAGCGGCCGGGCGACGACCCCCGAATATAGCTCGACATAGAACTAGACGCCATAGTTCTTGTCATGCTCGTCATTTGGTAGCTACGCTAGATTTCTGATCTCTTATTGATAGAGCGATATATATCATATAATATATGGTTATAGTATATAGATAGGAGTCAGTAGCCAGTATGTTTTATTGCAATACGATATGTAGATCATGCATGCGCAACACGCACATCCGTCAGCATCCTGACACACACATACACAGTGAAAATACATACTGATGCATGGACACTCTAAACAGCACAGGTCACACACAAGCGCCCCCACGCTTAAACACACTGCCCTGCCGCTGCCGCGTGTACTTTCCCCACCCCATTGATTTCCTGCCCCCCACTTTTCGTTTTATCGATCTCTCGCATTTTTCCTCGTTGTTTTCTTTGTGCCGGTTAGAGTTGTGGTGCGTGTGACTGCTCATTGTTCTCTTCGTCGTGTGTGGTATTGATCGACATTTTGATTTTGATATATTTCATATACATATGCCTAAATATGCTTTCACGCTTTCATATGAATTGCATAGATTCTCCACTCAATGACGTTCAGAGCCAGTTTCCAGTTTCATTGATCGTTTTTGTGGTTTTGAAGAGTATGACGATCGATCGAATCTCATTGCGCCCACCAGTTTATTGCTAAAAATTTGTTGATGTGGTCATAATTTGCATGAAAGCTACCTTTTCGTGCGTATTCAGTTAGAAACCGTTGCTAAGCTGACATTTTGTCTCTTTGGAAAAGCGAATGCCATTAGTGGCGTTTTGTTTGTGCAGGGATTTTAGGTTTTTCAACCATGGCACGTTGTACGTTAGGATCCCCAGCGAGGGTGTTGTATTTGGCGGCTGGAGGTAGGGGATTACATTTGATCGCTAGAGGGAGAAAGGGCATAGTATTTGCCTTCGAAGAATATTTTCGGTGTTGACTTTTCTTTGTTTTCCTGTTTCAAATGCGTTCAGGACGGTTTTTTTTTCTCGGGAAAAAGGGGGACAGTTTCCCGGAAAGGATGGGGAAGTTCGAGGGAAGTCGTACCAAAGGGGGAAATGCTGAGTGGGATGGCATTTTGTAGGAAATTTTCCGCAGAGCCAAGATATGCCCAGTTTTCAAGAAGAACTATACCTGCAAGGTGAATTTTTCCAAATTGGGTTGGGTACCCTTCCTCTCGGAAAATAACAGTTCTCTTCTACGTTATGCGGAGAAGTAAATGTAAAGGATTGCGATGGCTGAATGTTCTTTATATATCCGCCCACCATTCACTCAGCGTACAGCATGTCTGCTGCAGTACCTTGGTCGTTTAGGTCCCACAGTGAACGTGTTGGCATCATGCCAGCAACGTGTGGCGTATGCATTTGGTATCCAATGGCATCACGCGTTGCAAGTGGCGTGTACATGGGGTGTCCAATGGCGGATAG